ATTTTATAGGTTATTTACTTCTTTGTAACTGAGAGAAACCTTGCCCCTGAGGAAGATAGTGCAGCAACTATTTCTGAAATGAATTTTCTTTTTAATACGTGTTACATGCATTATACGGATTTCGTGTGAGATGATATTATATATTTTACATAAGCGTCTTTTGTATGATGGTACACCTTTCCAATCTTGACCTCAACAGTTTATGGAGAAATAATAACCCTATCGGCCTGTTATAGCTGTAATTAGTTTGAGTAGGGTCGTTATTCAGAAACTGTAAGTTGCAATTTGTGTTCATACTTCGTTGCCCGCGATTTTCAACTCTTCGGAGTAATCTGTCCAATGACTCTGTCACATAACGTCCTCGTATTTTAATCATTAGCAGTTGATATGATGTCAGTTATTTCTGAAGTTAATAACGAAGTCATATCCTGAATATGTTTTTACTTACCGAGGCCTTGTTTATTGCATAAGTTACTTTTCATAGATGAAGTATAGCAAGATATATAAAAGGAAGCGGTCGTGGCCTATTTTGTGCTACCGTTTTTTCATTCTCTTTGAGGGATTGGGGAAAACACAAGAAATTTTAGTCAGAATGTCTGGGTTGAGAATGAAATCGGGACCTATTGAATAAAATACAAAATCTCGACGAACGCGAAGTTTGGTAAACTAATCCTTCCCTTTATTGAAACGTGACTTTGATCTCTGACGCTGTTGTTTACATACATACAATTTAATTTCACAAATCCTCCCGACCTGGAACTCTTCTCTGTGTGAACTGGAGTCAGACATTCCTCAGAACTGCGTCGGAGTATCTCTCCACTCCGTAAACAAACTTTGAGGATGTGCGAAGTTCCCATCCATCCTCAAGTGTGGGGACGTGAGAGAGGCCCCCCCGCTGTCACTGGATTCAGAACATAAGTATCCCTTACTCACCTGTAGGCTTGGCCTCTCAGAGTTGCATTCGGGCCGAAATGTGCGAGCAAGACTGATACATGTCTGCTAGTTGGCTCGCTTTTACAAATAATTTCATAGGTTAATTCTGAGGATTCCAGGTTATCGACAAACATATGTGTACATAACAGGAGGTTTCAGCCTAAAATCTGAGTCAAGTGTCTTCCTTTAACTCTTCCTACGTCGCCTTCTTTACATCGAATTTTAAAACACGGCCCCTTGTGGTTAGATTTTGTTTGTTGTCTTGTAGCAGCCGAGAGCAAACTGCGATTCGCCTATGTCAGTACTTTGCGAGTAGAAGGAAAACAAACACAAATACTGTGTAAACAAAGACATTGCCTACAGAGGAACTGAGACGGCCAGCTACAAATTATTGCCGCTGACAAATATGTTTTTTATATGGACAGTATAATCTTCCTAACCTGCTACACCTTTCACCCGTCTGATTCCTATGCCTTTTACTTTTAACAAACCTCGAACGCACAGATCCGTCCCGACTACAATACATTGCAGGAATACCAGATATTACAGCATGTTAAATTTTTCATAAAATTTATTTTCCCAAAAAACTTTTCTTAATAATACTTGGTGATGAGTACTAATTGTAAATATCCTCTTTATGAAATTTTCTTCAACCTTTTGTTACTTCCTCTCAAAAATGTACGAGTATCTTTATCAGCATTATCATAAACCGCCAATCTTTATTCTTCCCTTGAGATTCTCACCAATACAAGAATAAAATATTAGCTACGTATTCATATACGCTTTGATTTTCCAAAACTGTTTACAAGTGAACCTGGTTTATTTCCTGTGGAGAGAAGACGTAATTTCTAGCCTGCAGGATAGGTTATTGCAAATTTACCGTTCGTCGCCTGTGGAGAAATTTAAAAAAAGTAGATGGATAAAATAATAATAATTATAAATAAAAGATGTGTTCGCGTATTGATCTTTAACGAGTGGGTTTGTACACCTGTGTTTTTCCTACTCCATGACGCTCAGAAAGTGTTGTTCTACAAAACAATTTATCCAAATGGCCTTATTTTGATTTAATTTCTGTTTTGTCGGAAGGTTTTGATAATAAATTACGTAGTGGATATTAATTGGATTTTCTGAAACACCCAAAAAAACTGTGTTTGCCTTGGTCTTTCTTTTGTGACGAAATCTCACCTCGTCCCTGGCATAGAAGACAGATATTTAAAAGGCTTTTGGACATACGTCTGTCTTGATGTGAGGTCAGACTCTCAGGAGGTAAGGTGATAATGTAGGCTGGGAGCTGCTACTTGCATGCAGATGTCCGACCCCTGACCTGCACAGCAGTACAACTGAAATCTGAAGCGATAAGCTCTTTTCTTGATTTCAAAATATTGATAAGAGACTGAAAGTTATGTTGTAACTCTGATGTTAGCTTCTCCTCACGAATGTTAATGCAATGTCTCGATCTGACAAACATTCCTTGGGTTTAAACGGATCCGTGCTTTCGTATTTATTGCAAATTGTACGTTCCGCTCACGACGTCTGTGACGACAGAGCAGTGGAAAATCCACTTCACATTGAGCCCAGGGCTAAGTAAAATTCTGAACGCCAAACCACTAGTCGCTCTATAAGTACTGAGGTTTTCAAGACGATGACGATATTGAAGACGTTCAGCTCTGACGATGAAAGAACTACGTTTCTGCAAAACGTTAGCATTTAATGATCAGTCAACACGGCGCCAAAACCCAGAACAACATCATCAGAATCACAAATCATTCTACTAATAACAATAAAGAAGTTTGTATGTGTTAACGTTTGGTTAATTTGTAAATTTTTCTGAATGCCCCGTTTTTAATAAATACAGGCATCACGTGAACCACGTTTACAGTATGGCCATTTTCTGGTTGGCCTCTGTTTATGTTAACGTCATGTGATGCAAGTACCCCTTTGTGCGAAACTTTGTCTTTCCCTCTGAAGAAATAAGTAAGAATGAAAATCTCTACACGTGTGTAGAGCTGCAGTTTATAATATTTGTTCAGTACATAGCCACAGTTTCAGATCTGGCTATTATTCAATCCCATGGGTTTAACGCTATTTAAGGCGACTGTAATTACATATACCACATTGTCTTTCCCGTGACATATCTGAATCTTACTCACAGGTTCAATTTATGGGTGTCTTGTGGTTTTCAGACAAAGACCGAAACCTTTTTTTAACGATTCTTAAAATGTGCTTACTTAAGTATAATTGATAACTGCAATGAATATGTTTTTCTGGCAGTACGAACCACACAGTTAAATACTGTTTAGGCTATGCAGAAAACAAATTATTTTTCTTTCCAAATTATCTATTCCACCGTACATTTATCAGAAAATGTAAATTCCACTGTTTGTGTCAAGCTACTATTCTTATGACCCCCCAATGCCTTCACTTTCAGTCCAGCCTTATCGGGACAAACGGGAGAAGCCTGGGTACCTTATTACAATACGATTTTCTTCGTTCCCCCGAAAAGAAGTGTCTATTTCTTATACTTGTGATTTTTTTCCCAGGAACTCTTCTACGAGAGCGGTTGGAATATGGACTGTCATCATTTGTGCTAAACAACTGTGTGGATCTGTGCAACCTCCGCGCGATCATTTCACGACATGGCGTGACATCAACTCTGAAGAAGTCTGTCTGGTATGAAAAAGGTAAGACGGTTGATTAACATGCTTTGATCAATGTTGAGCTTCCTATATATTATGTGTCCTGACTCGCTCAGTGTTTCTTGGGGTCTATGAGGTCTTCTTTCTGCTGTGTACTCTCATCAAATGGGATTTTCATCCTTTCAATGATTATGAACTTGCTTGACGTGTCAAATTTGACGGAAATTAACGTATTTATGTTAGGCAGTAATACAACTTAACTGCAGCATTAACTGTGTAAATCACGTACAAATACAGAATTCGTAAAGTGTAAAAAGGAAATTTAACGTAAAAACGTCTTTACGCCGATTAAAGCCAGATTTCTGAATTTGCCCTTGGAACATGGAACCTTGTAGCTTTGTGTCGTAATTTTGGGCAGGACCACACTTACAGCCTGTCGTTTCACAGTGGGCAATGTAGTAGGCCTGTGTTGAAAGACGTCACCTCGCACGGAGATTGTAGCGAAACCGGAATGTTTGAGCTTCTTACCAGCAGTGTTCAGTATTTACCTCTTCATAAATAATAATGAAAGTTACGAGATTTTTTTATTTTCATCCTTCATTATCAAAGTTTATTAAAATTTAGCGATTGACAGATGCGGATAAATAATATGGCGTTCTGCCCTGCGAGTTTGGGAACTGGTCGGTTCCTTCTCGTTGTCCGCGAGTGTACCGGCCCGAACATGCAAATAGAATATAAATCAATGTGATTTGTTTTCGTATCCCGATGACTGCTCTGCCTGAAACCGGTTCTCTCCGAAACTAAAACAAGCAGGTAGACCCTTGGACCCTCCCGCTGCTCCAACATGACTACCGCACCGTAACACGCAGACAAAGGACCGAGTGTAAGTTCATGTCCCTTGCTCTAAGTCTGTTACAGCCGAACCAACTCTGGAGATCACAGAAATTATCTTGTGATCTCTCGCGTACACGGTAATGAACTTACCGGTTCTTATGGAAATTTTTGACTAGCTAAGCTACTGTTAGCTTCTCAAGAAGGACGCTGCTATATGGTGTGCTTCAATCTACTTTTGTTTCTAAGAAATCCGTTCGTGCCATGATTTGTTCTTAGTATACGGACAGTAAACTGTGAACTTCAGAAGAACTCAATTCTTTTATTTCATCGCAAACTTAAATTTTATTTTTCTGAATGGAACGTACGCCAAGACCGACAACTGATCTCATTTCTTGATTCCACGAGTCTTGACGGCAATACAGTGTCTACTACTGTTGGAAGAGTTAGTAGCGCAGAAATATGCATGGAGAGACTATGGAAAACCATTAGCTATATAATGTAAATATTGTAATAGAAGGATGATGAACCTGAAGATTTCTGTCTTCTGGGTTGTTGCGCTGTGTAGTCTGGTCGATGTTAACCAACGTTTCAGAGGTCATACTGCCTCCATCATCAGGGCGATGAGTATGAAGATTTCTGTCTTCTGGGTTGTTGCGCTGTGTAGTCTGGTCGATGTT